TTTCCCCCCCCCCCCCCCCGAGTCTTCTCCGGTCCCCACCCCCAATTTTCTTCCACCCAAGAACAGGTGTTCCTCCCGTCTCGTTATAAATTACTCTCCATGTAATCCAAAGTAAACCGCTCGTTTTATCCTCGCCATGACGGATGCGCGCTACATCACCCAGATAATATAACTTCCGCGTCAACCAAAAAAAAAACTTCGGAAATTAGATATTAATTCCCCGAATTTCCGTAAATTTCAGCCGCAGTTTCCCCAACTTTTCCGCTCGCATTCATAAACATGAACTTGTAACTTGTTTTTTTTAATCGAGTAAAAAATGCCAACTTTATCCCCCGACAGCGGCGCGCGGAGGCGACCTACTTTACCGACTTTTCGTTACACCTACGGGAAAAATTGAGTTTCATGTACTGTGAGNGGGGGGGGGGGGGGGGGGGGGGGGGGGGGGGGGGGGGGGGGGGGGGGGGGGGGGGGGGGGGGGGGGGGGGGGGGGGGGGGGGGGGGGGGGGGGCTTTATATCCGACGTTTTGGTTTCGACTCGATCGCAGGTACATAATTCATCTAGCGTGTAGCATTGTCGGCGACTTCATTAATACAAATGGCGTCTGCTGAATTTTACCCAACCACCAGCTTCCACCAGTGAAATGGCATTTGCTATATCCCTCACACGTTTTAGTGCCCGGTACACATACCATCCACGCACAAATGTGTATCTATTCGCCGCGGGTTGTGCCATCTTTTTTTCAAAAAAACATATTTTTCTACTCCTTGTCGACTTTCATGAGGGCGTCTTTCCGCAATAACATATTAATAACGTACGGAAGACTTATCGGCGGATAGCCTCGACCCCGGATCAACTCCGGGGCTGGACTCCGGTCGTTATTGTGGTTCCAGTAGTTTTGGCGGAGGGGGGAGGGGGGGATGGGACTGTCCGATTCCATGCGACTTTTAAGCGCCGTTAAGGGAGCGCGGTACAGTCATCTGAAAAATTGATGTCAGTGGTTGCTGGGGGGGGATTTACAGCGCGGAAAAATCAGTGTCAAATCGGGTACATATGGAATCGTTGGACATTTCCAGGCGGTAGCCTCTGATTTTAGGGAGGATGGTGCTCGGGGAGTTGAGGGATGAAATATTGAAAATTTGAGGTTACGAGAGGGGAGACTTGTGAGAATTTTTTATTATTCGCGCCAGCAATTGTAATAATACATTGATTATTCGGTTTTTCAATTTTTATTCGAGCTATCGCTTTCAGACTATTATTTTTCTCATTTTTTTAAATTGCAAATCTTGAAATTTTGAGATTATGTCAGGCATTTCCCGGAATTCCCTCATTTTGTCCAGTAATTCAGGCGAAACGGTAAAACGGTTCAAGTCAATTTTGATTATTGGTCAGTTTTTAATGAATATCTCAGAATCCTAGGCAGTTATCGAAATGTTTGTCAGAATCTTTTTTGTAGCTTTCAATTTGGTCCATAAAAAAGGTCGTGACGACAATTTTGCTATCTCTCTTATATTCGGAGATATTGTCTGAAAACTCAACTGAGAGGTTCAGACAAAATCATCAAAATTTTGAGGTTATGTGAGGGTAAAGCTCCGTCGGCCATAGCCGTGAGCAATGAAGCAGTCGAGAAACGAGACTTTTGTTTCGAATTCAAGTCATATTTATTTTCTTTTTTTTTCTCATTTTTTTTAGCAATTGTATATAATCAGCGTAACAGTACAATGGCGATCAGAACAGCAACTGCCCTCTCCTCATCCAGTGGTTCTTCATATTTTCTATTAGACAGTGATTTATCTACGAGGCAGATGCAGTCCTGTTCGCTTTTGGATACATACATCAGGATCATTTGTTGTTCTTCTCGGTAAATAATTGATATATTACAAAATGAAAGAAATAAGACGAATTATTTCCCTTTTTCTTTCAACGTTCACACAAAAAAACGCACAACTACCATTAAATCGTAGTTTATCGCTCACTTCAGAGTGAACCTAAATAACCTAATTACGTATAGTACAAGTGGAGCGATTAGAGGGCTCATTTTTTTTAACTCGGAGATCCGCAAAATAAATAATTATTAAAATTACAGTCCTCTTAGAAATACTGCATTTTTTAAACTTTTCAACTACGTTTCACTGGTTTCATATTTTTTTCGTTATTTTATTTGCATTCTTTTTACGATGTTCGGGCATGCTGAGAGAATAATAAAACCACTAAATTTGTTTTTCAATGTATTCTTCGATCTATCAAAAAACCCTATACAAAATTTCAGATCGATCGGGAGCTTGATAACAACAGAAATAATTTATAAAGTTGTCACTTATACTTGAGGTCCGGAACATTGATGACTGGAGGGTGTCACCGGCATTATCAACAGTCGGTAATGTAGGACTCCCAACTTATCCATAACCTATTTAACCTCATGGGTAAGGAGAAAAAATAGAAATTATTTCTTTTGTTGAAAGAACTGTTTTGGTTTCTTAATAGATTGAAAAATATATTTAAGAATTAATTTTCAACGGTTTTTTAATTTTCTCTCGTCACGTCGTGTCATTTCAGCTCTTTATCGTCTCCATCCCAAGCCTTCTAGGCGCCTTCCGCGGCCGATGTCTCTTAGCTACTCGTATACAATCATTAACTAGAGTAAAATTACTGCAAGAGTATCGCCACGCATTGTTTTTCTCGTTCTCACTCATTCAAACAGGCGTATAGGTACTAAGTAGGTACGTACATTGTTATTTTCATTTTTTACGTCATACTTCAATCGAGGACGAGTTCAATTATTTTCCATCTGATTTCTTAAATAATTTTATATATATTTTCACAATTTTTTTTAAATATATAGATTTCATGAAAAAGATAGGCTGTTACGGAGGTTAAAAATTTCTGAGGGGTTGAGAAAAATTTATGGATTCTTGAATCTAGGCGGATTTTTGTTGGTAAAATTTATTTGATTCAAGACCAAATTTTTTTCAGTCTGTGTTTTGGAATTTTTTTACCCTCGTGGCTTTTCTGTTAAAAAAAAAAAAAATATTGTACACAAAAAAATATATTTTCGACCCTTATGACCCTTGTGACCCTTGAAAAAACGAAAAACAATGTTGGCCCTTATGACCCTCAAAAGTGGAAAAAAATGAACTTGAATCAATAAAAAATGGAATCAAAAAACTTTTCACCCGAAAGAATTTTTTTCTCTCCGTAAATTCGGACACATCGCGCACCCGTTATTCACATTAATCAATAGTTGTTGAGCCAATACGTCATAATATTGTTTACAACATAATCATAACAAAAAATTTGAACATGGATGTATATGCATAAATATACATATTCATATAATATTTAGCAACTTGATTGCAAGACACGCTTTCATCAATCTCCACCAGAATTACAGTTCTCCATTTGCGGATGAAATTAGAGGCTGACAAGTTCTCACGAAAATGGGAAATATGAGGATGGCCGTTGGTAAAAGCGTGTCCCCGCCGCGTATCGCGAGAAATAAAAAAAGTAATATACATAACAAAAATATAATAACAGCAGTCGTCGTATTGTCGCTCACTAACGGATACGCTAAACATGTGAACATTTCCTCCACTATCAAACGAATAATTACAATAATTAATTACGAAAAAAAAAACTGAACATTTTCATGACTTTGTACACCGATCTGTATATTATATAAATATATTTATTCACCGGGGAATAGTCGCGACATGCGATTATTTATTCTCTCAACATCACTTCCATTTCCTAAACAATGTTTCTAGATCCTAAATTTACTTACGAATTACTCGTAGACTTTTTCATTACGTATCTGAGTTTCGTGTGAGGATGACTCACTTTTACATTATTATCATAATTACGTATATTCGTTACGACGCGACTGGCAAATTTATTAATTTTTTTTTAAGTTTAATCTTTTTCACATCGTATATCTCCACCCGGACGATTATTTTTTTCCATTCGTTGCACGGTCCCGTTAATCAGGCGAAGGCCCAATAAAATTCACGACTAAAATTACAAAGAAATCTCTACGGATGCCGATGCACTAAACATGAACGTGAAAGAAAAAATTTTTTTTCCAATTTTTACTAAAGTAAAATGTAGATCTAGGACTATGAGAACTAGCGATGCTACTGTTGATCATTGCAGTTGTGAAAGTCGTGTGGATCGAATTGATCGCATGAGTTATTCAGCATTCCTAGGATTGTATCTCTCTCAATTATTAAAGTGATGTGTTTTGTGTCAGGTTTTTTCACTACGGGAGACTCCGGGGGGTTCAGTCACTCACCGGATGCAGCATCCAAAACGCCGCAACCGATTATGGTTTTTATTTTTTTTTACTATCGACGGATTTGAGATAGCGGCACATCGACACCTATTTGGCATTACAGAAACAGTTGGAGCAGCCTGCGACTCACCTGGAACAAAAAATTCCACGTGAAGAGGTTAGACGATTGGTTAATTGCGCGCAGACATGCTGCATGCGGAATGGAGGGGATTTTGTGAGGAAAAAAATGGGGTTTGACTCAAATTTTTAAATTTTTGTTTCTAATTTTTTTGGTGGGACCGAGCGTGGCGGATACCCCGGTGTGTTGGCGCGCCATTAGCAGCGCGTGGTGGCGCGCGCACACAGCACTACAAAATGGCGAAAAGGAGGGAAACGCTTGGCACTAAATTACTGACAATCGTTTCACATTATTAGGAGTCATAACTGTCACAAAATGACAATTAGATAAATATTGTTTTCATTTTCGCCAACATCCCATGATATTCCTTCGCTACTGAACATCAACGGAGATGAATCAGAATACGAAAAATCAAATTATTCATTACAAAATTCCCTACATTCTCCATGCGCCATGTCTCAATGACTCCCGAAAAAAACTGATCAAACCCCAAAATTAAAAATTCCACTCGTTCCATTGAGAAAGTTTTCGCCAGTGAAAAAAAAACGTAAAAATCCTCTCATATTTCGTGACATGGTGTGCCAAGCCAACCACGACCAAATATCCACCCGAATGTAGAAACACCATTACTCATCCTTACAGGCGAACGCGAAAAAGTTGTTTGTCCTGCGTCTCTCGGTCGTCGACGTAGCAAAACGAAATTCGAGATGTAAGAG